TTTTGGACTTAAGTTTTTGTACCTGTGAAGTTTTTAATGGGGAATGACACTGGTACTCTTACTCCCCATTCTGGTGCCCATGACAGCCATCACCAATCAAGCATAGCACGCCAAGCAGCCACAACCAGTTAATAGAAAACAAGCCTACATGTTATCCCGGGCTAGCCGAATTCTTAAATCCTTTCCTGCTCCAGAATTTCATTCTTACTCCTTCTAAGTAAATGGGAAGACAGGATTATACTGAAGAAAAAATTGCAGTAGAACCCCAAAATAGAACCATTGAAGCTGCAGGTCTTACAGGGAAACCACCATCGCTTTGGTTTTTATTGGGTACGAAAGGTATGTGATTTGTAAAATTATCTTAGATCTTTCGGTCTTAGATTTTTTCATCCACATCTTTTGCTGCAAGTTCTCCTGCTCAACCTGCTTTACTTTGATCCCTGGATAAAGGAGAGGCTCATCAGCATTGACTTTTAACTCCTTTCCCTTTGGAAACCTCTTTATGAAGCCTCCTTTTACTGGAGGCAGGCTGGGCAGAATCAAATCCTGCTTCTTTTGATAAATGTTTCTACTGCACACGAGGTAACTCAACAGCAATCACTAGCAGAAGGCCTCCTAGGGGGCTAACGTGGCCATCTGGCCTTTTATGTTCCACTCCACGCGGTGGAAGCCAAACCAAGGTTGGGCTGACAGCAACGTCTTGGTGATTTTCCCCTCAGATTCCAAAGACACCTTTGCAGTATTTCCATTTGTGTGCCCTGTTTCCCATCCCTGTGATCGACCAGCAAATCCAGTGCTTCCAAGTGAGCTCAAATCGTGAAAAAAAAAAAAAAAATGGCATTGTTTCTGTTGGGATTGGTAGCCTTTGAGCTTTCAAATGCCTCTCTGCCTCTCACAAAACAGGGAGATGGGCACTGGGGACAGCTTGGCTCTATTTTATTTAATTCTATTAGATATACTCACAGGGGTTGGAGACTATGAACACTTTGCTCCTGTGATTTCTAAGTTTTAATGACCCAGAGGTACCTCTCTCTATAATAAAACATTCTCTCCAATGAGGAATGAGAGCTGGGGTCTCCAGGATCCTAGGCTGAGGCTCCCGTAATCTGTAATCCGTGCCATATAAGCATTTGGTAATTGGCACAGAACTTAGCTCTTCCCTTTTCAATGGAAGAAACCCAGGTTTCTACCATTGAATCACGGACCTTTAAACCACAGAGTGTTTTAAGAAAGAGGAAAGGGATCTTTATTCCTCGGTTTAAGTCCGTGATTTTTTTTTTCCTTTGAAAGGGAATGGGTATGGGCAATTTAGAAAAAAAAAATCATTCTGGCCTTGTTTAGAACAGTAGGTATTAAATATAGATGAGATAACTCAGTTCTCCTTTTAAGACTTGATAAGGGCATCCCTATCTTCTCCAGGGCCACAGAATTCTCCCACATTTGCAAAATGAAGTGGAAAGCTCTCTGGTTTTAAGGGGTTTGGTTAGTCATTTTTGCAGAGGGTAATGTGTGGAGTGTATTGGAAAGTCTGCACAGAAGCGAAAAGCCTGTGTGCTCTTAAGGGCATGGATTCTGAAAGACTGTTGTGAAATTAAATGAGATTATTCCTGGGATGCTATGATTCCATATTCTGTGTTATATACACGGTAGCTAACCATTTTGGGAGCTGTGCCTCCATTTCCTCATCTGTAGAATGGGGATAATAATGAGGCTTCAATGAATCTCTCTGTAGCTAGCTGGCCAGATGAGCTGTAGATACATTTACAGCAGCGTGGACCATAGTGAGTGCTACTCATGTGATAATCGTTACTGGTGTTGCGTGAACTCCGAATGCTTTCCTTATTGGAAGGGCAGCGTGTGAAATGGTTAAGAACCTAGAACCCAAGCTCCGGGTCTGCCACTTATTTGTTAGCCGTGACCTTAGGCGAGTCATTTTCCCTCTATGCCTCAGGCTTTTCATCTGTGGTTTGGGACTAATAATGCAATCTCCTTTGTAGGGTTGCTCTGAGAATGAATTGAGATCGCTCTCTGTAAAGTGCTCAGAGGGCGCCCGACGTACATTCAGGGTTCCATAAACCATCGCTCATATTTCCAGACGATTTCTTTTAACTCTCTGATTGGAGCGAGGCAGAGGGTTCCAGGAAGAATGTGCTTTGGGAAGCAGTGCTTTCTGGAGATAATTGAAAGGCAGCCGTCTTGCTGTTTGCAGATGTGGTCACCCTGCTGGGCTTTCTCTATGCCTCCAGTGGAGAAAACACAGGCATTGTGAAGAAGTTCCCGAGGTTTCACAACCGAGAGCTGGAGGCCACCCGACGCCAGCGGATAGATTATCCAGTGTAAGAATGGGCAGAGGACGGTGGGGGGCGCTGGGCTGGTGGGGCAGGACCGTTTTAACCTGAGGACCAGGGCAGGCTAGTGGAATCCCTTAGGAGGACATACCTGTCTAATACGTTTTGGAAAAATGTTGAGATCCACACAGCTTAGACGGAATTCGTGGCCCAAAGTGGTCTTGAGTTATTCTTGCCATTAGCAGTCCTCAGTTTGCCTTAGACTCTCTGTGTCGGTCCCAGGAATGACATGAGCAGGGGCGCAAGGTGTGGGGGCCTGAAGCCTTGCAAGCTTTCGGGGGCAGCCAGCCACAGCTGGCACACGTTGCCGCCTTTGCTTTGCCTTTTCTGTCTTGGAAGACTGGATGAGCTGCTTGAAATCTCACAACTTCTGATCTCCTCCATTGATTTCAGCAAAACCCAGATATAGTTTTTTCCTTCTGCTGAATTGAAGATGCTGAAAATGGTTCCTGGTTCACCTCAGACCGGATGGATTTAGCAGAGTGATTTAATTCTTCCCATGCTGCTGGCTGTAGAAAGATCTTGAGTCACTTTACTGAGCGTATGTTCTTGCTAAGCTTCCTTGTAATAACTTATCTTCATGAGCTTGCTCAGCTGGGTGGGTCAGGAGGGAGCTGTGTGGCACCATCTGTTTGCATATCTTACCACTGATTCCGAGGCCAGATTATAAAGCCCAGAAAATTCTAAAGGACTTGTTTGGATATATCCCCCAAAGAACCCGGAGCCACTGCCACTTTAACCCCCAACCGTGACTTGCTCACTGGGGTAATGGCAAGAACTCTGTACGTTGGTTTTGACCTTGATTGCCGTTTCATCTGCAAAATGCAGTTGTTCCCAGCTCCTCGTCTTTGAACTTCTGGTCACTAGCACGATGCGTGGCATTAAGCAAGCGCTCGGCAAATATTTGCTGAGTGATGGACGGATCACACATCTTGGCTAAATGTGTCCTAGTTAAGTTGACTACTCTTATTTCATTCCCACTCGGCAAATCACAGATGTACAATACTTTTTTCAACTAAAATAGCCCCGGTCCAGAAATGGAACAATTAGATTAGTCGTTCCATGTGGGTCAGCCGGAACTGTGATCCTGTGCAACCTAATGTGTGCGTTAAAATAGTGTCTGTGTGTCCCCATTAACATAAAGCAATGCCATTTGCAGATTATGACATTTTTCTACCTTAAGGCTTTTATCTTGGAAGGAAACAAAATTGCTCAAAAAGCCCTAGTTGTGTTTTTTTTTTTTATTTTAATCACTGAAATTAGAATAGCTTCTTATCAAATCACCTCTTATTAAAATCCAGATTTTTGTTTTACGTCTGGCTTTCTAAACCCTAATCAAGAACTCAGATGGGAGGCGTGTGAGATTCTCAAAGGGGCACAGAAACAGAGTTTTGGGCGCAAGGTACGCTATCTGCCAATTTTGCACAATGACTCTTAACTCCTGTCTTTTGCAGTTACTATAACTACCTCCTTTGTCTCAAAAATCAAGCTTTGCAAGCTGATCTCCCATGATGAACATGAAGGCAAATTCATCCCTTCATTGGAAAGAAAGCAATTTACTTGGTCATTGTTAACTATAATTACCTGTTCTTGGATGATATCAATCTGCAGAATTTTTTATTTCTCCTCACTCTTGTAGGTTTACTGTTTCATTGTGGCTTTATTTACTCCATTATTGCAAGGCCAGTCTCTGTGGGATTCTGTACTTTGTTGATTCTAATGAGATGTACGGCACGCCGTCTGTATTTCTTACCGAAGAGGGTAAGTATGAGACAGAACCTTTAAAACGATGTTGCAGTTTTCTCGTGCTCTGTCTATTGGCAGATACGTCTGCAATTAAGGAAGATGTTGTCAACGTGGTAGTTCAGCGAAAGTGACGATTTTCAAACGTGGGCTTCACGTGAAACTTTATTTCTGGCAGCCTGAAACAAAGGCCTTCTTTGCAAAGGAGTTCACTTGCGTGTTCTTTTGTTTGCTTTGTTTTTGTTTAAAGGAAGGAGGAACACGTTCTAGCTGGGTAGCTGCTTAAGGCAGTTGATGAAAAGGTGCACCCACTTGACGCACTTCGAAGTAATATTTTTGTGTGGTTTTCACGAGCTTTGATTTTCCTTGTAGGCCACTTGCATATTCAGATGCACCTTGTCAAAGGAGAAGACCTTGCGGTAAAAACGAAATTCACCATGCCCTTGAAGGAGTGGTTTCGACTGGATCTCTCTTTTAACGGAGGCCAGGTAGCGGCATGCACGCCCCATGAATCACCAGCATCATCACTGATAACATTAAGCATTGCCGTAAAGTCAGGGAGCCAGGATATCCGCCACAGCGAATTTGTGGAACATGATAAAGTCTTTACAGCTGCGCACTTTTTCAATCAAACTTTTATAGATGGAAGTTTAAATCATAAGAATCCCGTCCCATTTAATTAACTTTTAAAGTGCTTCTTTCGACCATATTGTGAATGAGTAAATAATATAGCCAGCGATATGGCCACAATTATCTGCGCAATTCAGTTTTTTACCCCCCCGA